GATATCAGCATTTGAGTCATGATCATGAAGAATTCTAAACAAAACCAATACTAACAATTAAGTAGCATATAAAAACGAGCAATAAATTCATTTAGACATATAAACGAATCGATTTTCAATCTAATTTTAATGAAGTAGGCATCTCCTGGATTTTGTTTGTATGCTGTAGAGTGCGTCATATTATATATCACTGAGAGTTTAACAGAATTATCGATTTTTTTGACTTAGTTATAGAACTTACGAAATCGGTTTTCGTTGGAGTCTCAATGCATCATGAGTGAACCACGAACACTGTTCGAGCATTTCTTTGTCGAACGCTTCCGACTGAGCTTTGAGTATGTTGCTCCTCACAACCTACTCTGAATCGTGGAGAATCTCAATCAATGGTTCACGACCATCATCACCCTACAACAACTCTGCATGCCAGACAACCAGCACATGGCTATTGAACTCTATCCAATTACAAATCTAACAGTATCTTTCCCCGTAGATTGTGTGAGCAAGCGAAGCACTGCATTATCGATTGGATTGAGTTTGAAAACGCCCATATCAAGCAATATGACTGTTTCTCGAAGTCCAACACTCACCTGCTCCACTTCGTACTCAAGTTTTTCCTTACCCCAACGTGAAAAATTGATGAATCTATCTCCCCTGACTTTAAATCACGTTCTTCCTCAATCTGTTTACTTTCTTGTCCTCCCTGAAGATGTTAAACGTTGGTGTTCTTTTTTCCTTCATGCGTTAATGTAAAACTATTTGTATATTTATATACTCTTTTCTTTTTTTTCTGTACTGTTCTTAAACTGCCACATCTCTCTTTCTTCTTATCTTTCTTTTTACTTGTGAACCAACTTATTATATGGCACAATAAATATCAATGTTAAAAAAAAAACTCTATCCAATTATGTGTTCTCCATCTTTATTTCACTGTTCGTTCAGGGTGGAGTGGGTGCGGGTGAAGACAAGACCCAGACCCACAACTGAACATGAGTTGATAATGCAGATAACCATGAATGGTTTAATTCTATCGATGCCGGTGAAAAAATCGTTCAAGATTTAACAAAAAAAACAAGCTTGATTTATGTGGTCTCACACTTTAATGAAAATATTACTTGATCTACCGCAAACGCCAAAGTCAAAACAAGAGTTAATTGAGAAATGTCGTCGACAATATAAACACAATAATTATCAACAAAATAATATAACTAATTTGAAAGCAAAAAAAACTTATAATTCTTCGAATGCTCTTTCACCGTATACACGTGATAGCTTTTTATACAGTATTGTTAACAAAGCACTACGTATCCAAAAACATAATCTATATATTTTTATGTAGATTCTTTAATATCGAAGTTTTTCTACAACTGGCTAAATATTATTTGAAATTCATTGAACCGTTAGAAAAAGAAATACAACAGTTTATAGAGGACAATTAACTGCAGCTGACGAGTTTTCTAAACTGCAAAATAGTATCAATGATTTTATTTCAATTGAAACATTCCTTTCCACAAGAAATTTCCTTTCAGCTTAACCACCAGCTATTATAAGCAGTACTGATAACGAAAGCCTTCAATACGACAAGATCGATCCTAAGTGAAATTGTTTATCGTTCTTATGTTAATTCAAACCCATTGACGAAATTTGAAATGGCTTCGTACTGTATTTATCAAGTTCTTTTGCGATTCTTCTTTTTTTGTTTTCCTCATTAGACGTACGCATCCAAAGTTATCATTTTCAATCGCGATAATCTTGACCACAAAGCGTCAGAATATATTGGTTCAAACTTAAAGATTAAATTTCATGATCGAAGCTACTCCGTTTATTGTCTAATCATCGAAGAACGTTCCATGTTCTTAGAGAAAGTCACTCAGAATGATTAATTTTGTGAACTTGACTTTTTTCTCACAATTCTAGACAAGTAAAACAACGACAAATCGATTTTATTCATCAAACGTTAACTAAAAATGTGTTAATAGAATTCTTGTAATAATATATTTTGCCATGCCGATTTTACCATTCTTTTCATGTTTCAATCGCTTGCTTGATCGAAGTATAAATAATTCGAGTTGCCGATAAGAGCAACACGAACGCAAACTATCTCTGTTCCTTCAATGTTATACACGATATTTTCTCAAAAGAAGAACACACATATCTTCATTTAATTGCTCTAACAAAATCTGAAGCTATGTATTCATTATTTTGCTGACATAATAGAAATCAAAATCTTTTTTCATTGTTGCAAACAAATATATAACAAAAAGTTGATCAAGCATTCAACAAGTCATTTCAGTTTTTTCCCAATACAGAATCGTCAATACAATGCTTACGACTTTTTTCGTTGCTTGTTTTTCTCAGCCAGATCCGACACACGATGTGCGAGTTCGTATCCGATTTTATTGTCCCAAAGACTTATACTTGTGAGTGTCTTTATGAAAAACTGGAATTGTGTATATGATAGAGATGAAGAGAGAATGAGAGTTACCGTGTTATGTTGTAATGCATCCGCAAGATGTTGTGCTCCGACAGCTCCAATTTGAGTGCGGTTGAGTTCTAGTGTAGTAAGTGTCTATGTAAAAATGCGGAAATTATTAAATGCTAGAGATGGACAGATAATGATGGTCACCGTGTTATGTTTTAATGCATCAGCCAAGTGTTGTATTCCTTTGTCTCCGATTTTATTGTCGAAGATACGTAGTGTGGTAAGTGCCTATGTGAAAAAGTGAAGATGTTTATAGGATAGACATGAAGAGAGAATGACAATCACCATGTTATGTTTTAAAGCATCACCGAGATGTTGTGCTCCCAAAGCTTCGATTCGATTGTCTGATAAATTTAGCATGTTGAGTGTCTGTGTGACACAGTCGACATGATTATGTGAGAGGGATGAAGAGAGAATGATGATCACCTGGTTATGTTGTAATGCACCAGCCAGATGTTGTCCACCTATGTCCCCGATTTGATTGTTTTGGAGGTCGAGTGTGATGAGTGTCTGTGTGACAAAGTGATGATGAGAATGAAAGAAATGTAGAAAAAAGCAGAGTCACCGTGTTATGCTGTAATGCATCAGCGAGATGTTCTGTTCCTTTATCGCCGATTTCATTGGTTTGGACATTAAGAGTGATGAGTGTCTGTGTGAAGAAGTGAATATATGCATATGAGAGAGATGACAAGAGAATGATGTTCACTTTGTTATGCTGTAATGCATCACCGAGATGTTCTGCTCCATTGTCTCCGATTTCATTGCTGAAGATAGTTAGTGTGGTGAGTCCCTATGCGAAAAATTGGAGATGTATTTATGCTAGAAATGGAGAGATAGTGAGGGTTACTGTGTTACGTTGTAATGCATCAGCAAGATGTTGTGCTCCGATAGCTCCGATATGATTGCTGCTGAGCTTCAGTTTGGTGAGTGTCTGTGTCACAAAGTCAAGATAGATATATGAAAAAGATGAAGAAAGAATTAGAGTTACTGTGTTATGCTTTAATGCATCAGCTAGATATTGTGCTCCGACAGCTCCAATTTGATTGTTCCAGAGATCTAGTGTGGTGAGTGTCTGTGTGAAAAAGTGGCGATGAGAATATGCGAGAGATGAAAAGAGAATGAGGTCACTGTATTATGTTTTAATGCATCAGCGAGATATTGTGCTCCGACATGCCCAATTGGACCACTTCCGAGATTTAGTGTGGTGAGTGTCTATGTGAAAAGTGGAAATGAGAATATGCGAGAGATGGATAGAAAATGAGAATCACCGTATTATGTTGTAATGCATCAGCAAGATGTTGTGTTCCGCGTGGTCTGATTTGGTTGCCTCTTAGATCTAGTGTGGTGATTGTCTGTATGAAAAATGGATATGATGAAATGAGGGACATGGAGAGAAAATGAGGGTCACCTTGTTATGTTTTAGCGCATCAGCCAGATGATGTGCTCCTTTGTCGCTGATTTGATTCTCGAAGAGATCTAGTGTAGTGAGTGTCTGTGCGGAAAAAGTGGAGCTGTGTATATGCTAGCGATGAGCAGACAATGGAGATCACCGTGTTATGTTTTAATGCATCAGCGATATATTGTGCTCCAAGAGCTCCGATTTGATTGGATCTGAGATTTAATGTGATAAATGTCTGTGTGAAAAATTGGACGTGGACATATGAGAAAGATGGAGAGAGAATGAGGGTCACCGTGCTATTTCGTAACGCATCCGCGAGATGTTGTGCTGCTCTGTCACCGATTCGCTGTTTGATAGTCACTGAACTCATAAAATAACCACAATAAAAAAAAAACATTTCGTTCAAAGTGACAAAAAAAGAATCGAATGCACAGTGCCTGTCATATTCTCTCTTCATTTCTCGCATGTACTCATCATCATTTTTTCACACAGACACTCACCACATTAAATCTCCCAAACAAGCGAATCGGTGACAGAGCAGCACAACATCTCGCGGATGCGTTANATCATTATTGTTGAACAGAATTTGTGTTATTTAGCACCACAATGTGGTGCTTTTCAAATAAAATCATCTTCATTTGACTCTAAAACTGATATCTCTTAATTGACAGGAGTACAAAAAATTGAATGAACATATGTATATTTCAAATTTCTTTTTTTAGGCAAATTTCCACCTTTGGTCTCTCCAAAAAAATATATAGAAGAATGATTTCCATAAAAATAAATAACAATCTGTTTAAATGCAAAACTTTTTTGCAGCATTCTGTCTCGAACTAACTCTACACATTATGTTGTCGTTGAAGTTACCACTTTTTTTCACAATGACTCGTTTTTTTTTTCTACTATGACTATTTTTTTTTTACACACACTCAGTTATTGTATCCATGGTGTATACCATGATGCCTGACGCATCTATTTCGCCGACGCGGTTCTCTTTCTTTCTTTTTTCTCTCATTCTCTCATCTGTGTCCGTAGTCTAAACGAAACAAAGTTGCACAGCGTCAAGTAATTATTAAATATAGAACAAAAAGAAGAACAACGCATACATTTTCCAAGCTTACTATGACTGAAACAGTAACAACAACTCCCGCGTCGGTCATGCCAATAACACCGACGAAAATTCCTGTCGTTCGCTTCAATATCGATCAACAATGTCCTATTCAATATGTCACTGTCTATAATGATCTGGCAGAAGTAACACGAATATTACGACATCATTTCGATACCGAAGGCACGCATGAACTCGTGCTCAATGGTTTCTCGACATTTGTAGATGAATCATCGTTACATATCAGTGGTGGAACAGGTAAAGCATGCACTATTCTAGAGGTATCATATCAAACGCGACACGAAGATGTCGCTCCACCATCAGGTTTGACATCTCTCGATCATCTCCAAAGTCAACTTGAAATCGTGCAAACTGAAATAGACATACATAAACGTGAATTAGCACGAATTACGAAGCAACGTGTATGGCTCGATGGACGTTCAACCAAAATAATGAATCAAGATGGACCATATACAACTAATGATCTGGAAAATATACAGCAATTTCTCGAGTTTTATCACAAAACATTATTGAAACTTGACGATGCAACAGCGCACGAAGAAGATGAAATCAAGAAGCTAAATGATCATCAGGATGCTTTGAAAGCACAAATCAACCAGCATGGCACTGCAGCTCAAGCAAATCGACGAAAAACATGTCGAGAAATGACGATCACAGTGCATATTGCCATTAGTAAAATTGATGTGGCACTTGAAATTTCCTATTTGATCAGCAATTGTTCTTGGAGTGCGAGCTATGATGTTCGTGTAAGCACTGTCGAAGCGAATCAGCAGCGCACATAACTCACGTACTACGGTATTTTAGTAAGTACTACTTGAATCTTGAAAGAATGCGAAGTTTTAAAGGAGTCTTATCGATTTTGTAGGTAAACAAAAGTCAAGAAAACTGGCTCGATGCAAATTTCTCGTTGTCTACTGCAATGCCATCCCTTGGTGGAACTCCACCGAAATTAAACACACTCAAAATTGATTATTACAAGCCATCATTCACATATGAAAGACGTATTCCTCAATCAAAAACATTGGAGTTGGACCATTGTGAACTTAGAGCATGTGGACTTATAGATGAGGGTGTTTCTGAGAAAAGCAAAAGAAATGCCTTCAGGTCTGCTCGTAGTAAATCATTGCTCGGTTATGACCCAACCATTGAAGACGCAGACGAAGAATCTGCTGCGACAGAAGTAAACGTTCTCATTTCTAAAACTGAAGCCAGCATATCTAGTAGCAGTTTTGTGATTCCGCGCCGATCAACCATTGATTCTGATGTGAGTATTCTTTTCAGTTTGATAGAATACGTATGCATCTTTTATCTGTACTAGGGTAAACCACACAAGGTTACAATTGGTGTTCTAGAACTTACTTCAACATTTACGTACACTGTTGTGCCGAAAGTATCACTTCATACATATCTCAAAGCAACAACAGTGAACACATCCGATAAACAACTTCTCGCTGGACCGATATCCGTCTTTATGGACAACAATTTTATCACACATAGTTCAATTGGTAATGTCTCTATTGGTGATACGTTCGACCTTCCATTAGGTACGGATGCAAGTGTCAAAGTGGAATATAAACCAATAAAGAAAATGGTTGATACACAAGGTCTCATCTCGAAAGTGCATCATGAGACGATTCATCATGAAACATATATTATAAACACTAAATCAACTGAGATCACAGTGTTCCTCTATCAACAAGTGCCTCTATCTTCTGATGAAAAGATCAAAGTAAAATTGATCACACCTGATCTACGACAAAAAGAATATGCACGCAATGGCACGGTGAAGATGAATGATAGAAACAATATAGAATGGAAATGTGTGTTGCAAGCACATGGAGAATATCGATTTCCGTTAGAGTATACACTCGAATGGCCAAAAGAAAAACGTGTGGAATGTAAGGAAGAATAATAATCAACTTCTTAGTACTTATGTATTTTGATCAGACAGTTTGTAGTTCTTGATTCATATTCTAAAAAGCAATTAATTCTTAAAAATAAAGTCATTGAACAAAAATGCGCAATACTTCATTTTTTTTAATTGAAGCAACGAACAGACCTTCATGTCACAGTTGGCTCAATGAACATTAGCACTCTTTCTAAGTAGAATTCGGTGCCAGAGTAGAATGGATGATTGACTATCACAATCGACATGCTTAGAATTTTTCCAGTTATTGGGACAATCGTTGTCTTTGAAGACACTCACCAGTGCATAATCCTATGAGGGACCATCGAGATTTTTTCGGGATTTATCTTTTCTGCGGGATTTATTAATTACGATCACATTTCAGCACATCAACACCCACGCCTTGTATGTATTGAAAAATCCCAATCAATCACGATAAAATAAATCTTGGAAGCAGCTGGAATTAAGACGATAAGTTGAACACAAAAGCAGCACCGATTGAATTCGAATGTGGTGAATGTCAACGCATTGATCACAGTTTCATTCATTCAGAATTTCAAGTTGTTTGAACTAAATTAGAGCAAAATGTGCTAATTAGCAACGGAGGGTGCCATAAAAACTATGTAAACGACTTATTGGTGAGATATCTAATTGGAAAGATATATGGTAACTTTTTCGACCTAAACCGATTGTATACAACACTTCGATCAATGTGTAGGGCTAGCTGTAACTTGGCTGGATACAGTGGTTTATCGTGAAACATGGTACGAAAATGTGGGCTGTGTTCGTTGATTCTTTGTTGAACTCTCTTCGCACCTCATTGTAGTTTATTATTACCCAACCTGACAGTAGTTGTTATAGTGACGTCTATTTAAAAAAATTACTGTTTTTTGAACTATTTTGATCAATCACTATTCAGCATCTACTTCATAAGAAAATAATCTTATTATAAAATAGGATACGGAGGAGTTTTAAGATTTTTCTTATGGTTACATTCTTTCTACCAATAGGCTAATTTTTCTATAAAAAGCTTCAAAAAATATCTTAAATCACGTTCTATCGACGTTTTCTAATCGCACAACAAAATCAGATGATACACGATATTAAATAATATCCGTTTTAACTAATTCNTGCATGTAGAATCCATTCATATTACATTGGAAGTACCATTAGATGATATTCACCATTTGTTTGATGTAAATGTATTTCAAGTGAAATATTCCATTACGAATTTAATCGTTTAACAATAGGATCACAATGTACAATAAGAGAATTAGCAGAAAACAACTAAGGTTAATCTGAATCGACCGGAATAATTGAAGCATTTATTGCAAGAAATTCAGTTGATGTACTCTAAATGCACCATGAGAACTTAAATTTATTGGTGTAACAAGATCAACATGTCCGTTACAATGGTTACCACCAAATAATGAAGATGAAGCATCAATTCAAAATTATGGGATTGAAAGACAAATAGAAAAACGTTGGCTTCGGGCTATACCAGCATTAACAACAGAAGGAACAGTTGTACAATTAATTATTATAGTCGTCCAAGTGAATCTGTTACTATTTAAGTTTCATATGATGTTTCAACATAACCAGAACCTATTGATATAAATGAATTAACTGATACATCATGTATACTTTCATGGAAACCATCTATTCGTGATAAGAGTAGTTCAACTATTGCATATATAATTGAACAATGTTTTAAATTTGAATCATTATTTACGCGTATAGAAATGATAACACCTATAACTGAATGTTTTCATAAAATAGAAAATTTATTAACAAATAGTGAATGAATGTGAGGGCGTGGGTGGGTGTGGCAGCAATTGGACAAGTACAAGTACAAGTACTTTTTACTTAACAATTGTACTGTGTATTTATACTTAAGTACATTTACTCAAGTCCTATTGTCCTTAATACCATGTACCTAGGTACAATATACTCAAGTCCAATATACTTAAGTACCATGCCGTATTCTGATTTGATTAATATTACTTTATCAACATCAACCATTTTCGTAGTCTAATGACATATGAAGTAGTAAAAATCTTAGTTGGTGGAATCCTCACTACCATATTTTTGTATGCATTGATATTAAAATCGATACTATTTATGAATTTTTAACTTATCGTGAATAATGGTAAATGAATATGATAGAAATTAAAAAAATCATATAAATTAGAAGCTACTTGGCGCATGATAAACAACAAGAACTTTGATTGTTTTGATTTAAATTACAACAACAGATATTTATTATTAGTGACTCAATAACTAATTTAAATACCTTTTTCTGAATCTTCATCAATAGCTAATGGTTGGGGATTTTTTTTGAAAAAATATTTCGATTTTTCTTCAACTGACAACGACAGTATTAATGGAGTGTGTGGAGTGTAGATGTTGGGGTTATCGTTCATAGTATTAACCCACACCCTTATATATTCGTTGTTATTTTTAAAGATTATTTGAAAGAGTTTAATTTCATCCATTTTTGGGTGTGAGTATGAATCTTTCCTGACTTATATCCACACCTACACCTGCCTCTTCAATAATAATTTCGTAACGAAAGAATCAAATCCATTAATTTATTCTTCACCTGTCACTTGGTAATGTAACGGTAAATTACCTTTTCTATTCAGGTGATCAGCATCATTTTACAATTATTGAAATAACAGAAACCATTAGGAGTCAATAGAATCATGGGATCAGCTTTCTCCTGAGTGTATATCGGAAATCCGATTCTTCATGAGACTCTATAAGACTTTAAGTGATTTCATATGACTTCACGAGGAAGTCTCCGCTGTTTCTCCTTCGAAATAATCATGTTCTACGAAAAGAACAAGAATAAAATATATTTACCTACTCAGCTGATTAGTAGAAGTAACATAGACAAATTTTGAAAAAATCTCATAACAGAAAGATCTATTAAAGATTGTATCATATGAATAGAATAGATTGAGTGAATCGACGTATCGAATGACTTAAAATCACTATCAACAAGTTTAAAAAACAATTCAATTCTCAATGCTTATATTTATTTAATTCTTATGTCGAGCAAGCAAGTAAAAATAAAAAAAAAGTTCCTCATTCTTTAATTTATCCCCATTTTAGAGTAACAATAATTCGACATTGAAAATTATTGCTTTTTGTAACTCGAAATGGTAAATGAATCAGATTCTCATCAACTGTAATTGATTTACATGTTGTTTTATTAATATTTGTTTCAATAGCTCCATAGAAATTAAGTTGACCATTTACATCTTTATCTTTATAATTAAATATTGTTACATCAATTTCATATGTTTGCCAAGTAATTGTTGTTGTATCTTTATTTGATGCTGTTACATTTGCTTTTATTAAATATTGAACATCATTATCTTCACCTAGAACAACCGTTTGTGTATAATTTACTGGAACATCAGGTAAATTTGATTGACCCATTAATACCTGATTATCACGAATGGTTAAAATTCCAGCTGGTAAAAATTGATCCGATATTAAATCATAATTTCGTTGAAATACACCTTTATATTGTCCATTACTAATACCTACTGCTGTTTTATAATAAAATTTACATTTAGGATTAACATTAATAAATGGTAAACGAATAGAACTTTTTGAACGTAATGTATATTTATCTTTTAATGAATAAAAATAAAAACCTTTCTGTTCACCATCAAGATGAATAGATGATGAGCTGACTCTATCTATTGCAGTTGCTGCTTGCATTGCTTGAAGAGGTAAGCCTATAGAATCAGTATTCGCTAATTGAATATCACCACTGTATAAATAAGTGTTATCAACTTGATATTCTTGTTGTTGATTATTACGTATATTGGCATAAGCTCGAAGATTGCAAGCTTAAATCAAAGAGAAAAATAACAGAGATAGTTTGTTTTTTTACGAAAGTCAATCTATAGAGCACTCACTATTTGCATCTTTAATAAATAAGTCATAATTTGGTAGCCAGGTTATGCCTCTCATTAAATATGATAATGTGCCAGTATAATTTGTGTCTTTTTTCTTAAATTCAAATCTTAAAATTGTACCACCTTGGCGGGGTCTTGTCGATTTGTATTCAATTGACCCACTATCAGCATAAAAGTAACCTTTTGTTTCCACATTGTATAGCAACATTGTATTCGGATCGATAATTTTTGCTTCTATTATTGTACATTTACATGGAGTTGATGGTCGTACAATAACTAAAGCGTCTTGAAGTGCATCGACTGTATTATATAACTCTTGCTTAATAAATGCCGTTCCATCCCAACTGATTGAGCCATCGATTATATTTGTATATTCATCATTTTTAAAATAACATTGGTATACACCAACACCACTTTGAATTTGACGAATTTCAGTCACACTTTTATGAATATTCAAATCAACAGCAAATAAAGGATCGCTTATGAGAACGATAAAAACTATGGATGAGAACAGCATCGTTACACAAAGAAAATATTTCAACAGGCTTTCTCTATAAATATGCGTGTATATATATATATATATATATAATCATCAAAAAAACATCAAAATCCAAATGACGACCTATTCAGTTTTATTCATTCCATTGATAGGAGCATATTTTTCACTCATAATAATAAAAAAAACATAAAATTCTAGGTGAGAACCTATTCATTTTCATTGATTTCATTGATAAAAGCATTTTTTTTCCAATAACAATAAAAAAAACATAAAAGGATAAAAATAAAACCAAATCTAAAAGTATAAACAAAGCCAGATCCTTTATATCGACACAAACAAAATAGAAAACATTAAGATTTTATTACCATTAGTAGAGCATTATTGTATAATTAAGATCAAATGTTTGCCGGAATCACTATTTGAATTCCGATATTGAGAGACTGTCAGCGTGGGTGCTGTATAGTGCTTCTATACACATATTCCACCAATCACTCTCATAACCACAATCAAACTCAAATCAACACACGACCCCACACACATCCACATCACCACCAGCACTCAACAGCACAAAGCATCATACATCACACTGCCACAACATCTACTACGCTCAAATCCACCAAGCGCCACACTTAAAGGCTACATCCGCACTTCGAAAGGACATGCTTTGAGGCCACAGTTATGTACGAGTATGCCCGCAACCTTGTTGAAAACAAGTAGTGACTACAAATCAAATCTGAGATATCGCTCTAGGTTCCAAGGTTTGATCATTGACCACTTTTTCAACATTTGACATATCCTCAGGCCTTCAGGATGTGGATGCGGCACAGTGGGCAACTTTCGCATACCATACGGACATGGAATTTTAGTGCTCAGATATGATTATACTATATTGCTTACGAAATCATTTTTAAGAAAACAAACTATGTTTTTGAAAAACAATTTCTACGAAAGTTACCTGTGGGAACTCTTGCCGTATTTCTTGAGAACGATGTGGGTCGTGTGGATGTTAGTGTGAGTGGGTGGGCACGGGTGTCTGTGTGGATGTGTAGCTGAAGGAAGAAGCAACACCCACATCCATACCCACAGTAATTTCTTGGCTGTATGATCTTCAATTATCTGTCGGATTGATAACTGTTGCTTCGACGTGAGGACAATATGTAAATATTAGTATTATGAGATATATTTGTTTGCCATGTAGTTTTCGATAAGCTAGCCAACCCCCAATCTGTGCTTTGAATTCAGGAACATAGATACACATAAATATTCTGAGAAATTTGCCTTTACCATGTGTCAGGATCGCCATCTATAATATATAGATGGACGATCCTTTACCTTGTTCTCGTTCCTCCTTCTCTAACATATATACATATATGTTTGTTTTATCAGTAGTCATTATTGTTGTGAAAGAAAGTAAATAAAAGTGGTGATAAGTTTAGGTACTTGTCTCTTAATTCCATATATTAAATAAAGGTGCAAGAATCCTAACACCATGTGTCTTCGATCAACTCTATGAGTCGCAATTTTTTCGTCGCAGTAAGAAAGTGAGTTGAACTATACCTTATTTAAAAGTATTCGTTCGTAGTGTGGTCTCCAATGAAATAATGGTAAACAACATTTGCTTGGGAGTGTACAAAGACATAAACAAAACCTTCATATGAAAGAATGGTTTGCAATATGAATTTCGATAAGCTGATTCTGTCCGAATGTTTGCATCTGCCCAGGTTGAAAAAGCACGATCGTAAACGACCGTATACAAAAAAATACGACGCATTACAATGATCGTATACGATGCAATACGGTGCTATACGATAGTCATAAACGACCGTTCAATACGACTATCATAAACGGCGTTCGTATACGATCGTATATTTGTTGTGTTCAACACCAAGTAACTTTCTTTGTACAAAAGAATTTTTTTAATATTTATATCTGTTACAATCGTACAATGAGCAGTGTGGGTGTGGGTGTGGGTGTGGGTGGGTGTGGGTGTGGGTGTGGGTGTGGGTGGGTGTGGGTGTGGGTGGGGGTGTGGGTGTCGGTGTGGGTGCGGGTGCGGGTGTGAGGTGTGGGCGTAACTAAAGAGAATGCTCACATCCACGCCGTAACCCACAGCCACATACATTCACACCCACACCCACACCTACACCCACACCCACACCCACACCCACGCCCACACCCCCACCCACACCCACACCCTTTCACGGTGCATCTTTTAAACAAAGAATCAAGATTATACGATTGACCTGTGATGAGATATTTGCAAAATACTAAATGTTGCAATCTTTATGCTACACCCGGTATATGTCTGCGTCATTTGATTACACGTTCAAGGTTAACACATCTGTTTACAACAATTAGAGGAATTTAATTAGACCTTCTCAATTGATTCTGTTTTCTTTTGTACATGCGTTTCTCATTTGAGCCAATTATCACTATCATGTAACATTACAATGTGATCGACAGAAAGAAAAAAAGCCGAATGATGCATGCTAATCTGGTTCGATTCGACCTACTTTCTCAAAAAGTCAATTTGTATACGTTGTTAATGAACGGATCAATTTATTTCGTAGCCAGCAGTGAAGTTGCTTCATTATGACATCTACTGATCATTGCGGATGCATTCTTTGCTTGTTTACTTATCAGTAACAACAGAACGCAAAAAAAAGTATTTCGTCAGAGAGTGACAGTGATGTCATCATTTCTTGTTTATTTGTTTTTTTTGAAAACATTTGATCAATAGCAATAGGAAACGAGTAGATAGAAAAGGTAAGGCTGTGTTTACAAAATATATGTGAATATATTATGAGTATTAAAAATATACACTTCATACGAGTAGAAAAATTTAATTGCATCGATCGGTTTTCTTTATTATTTGCTATGAAATACAGTCCAATATAAATAAAATAGTTCAAATAAATAAGAAAAAACATAGAATGAATAAGAAATAAGAAAAATGACTGAAAAAATTATTATTACTAGTAATGTAGTTTTTTCCTTTGTCACAAAGTAATACTGTCTTTGTTGCTTTTGATTCGTTTACAGTACTGTAGTTCTTAAATGGATGGGAGTGTAAGTATTATTGACTAATCTTTAAATTTATTAATGGATCGTTTCATTTATTTTGACCACATAGATACGCACACTCTTATTGCACAATATTCATCATTGTAAACAAAGAACCAAAACTAGGAAAGAAAAGACCATTTTTTGGAAATTGAACAACAAACCGGTGATAGGATATGAATTGCACAACATTCATTTGATTATGTCTCGTTTGCTGGCATGTTAAATATAATATAGATTTTTTTTGTTCACTAATTTTTATCATTCTTTACATGTTTTATCGAACTATTAATTGTCTCTCACTCTACTTAGATACTACCTATGAGTTAGCTCAAGCTTCATTTTATTGTGCACGTCTCGTTCTTTCTTTTCTTCTTATGGCGCATCTTCTTGTTGAAAACTCCTCGCTATCTTCTGATAATGATCACTCAATCATCAGCACCTCACCCTACCATTGGCTATTGGAACCTTGCACTTTAAGTGATTCCAAAGTGGTCGCACTCGTACGCTTTGAAAAATCAGATTTTGTAATACATCTTCATCCTAAAGACAAACGTGGTTATCGTTCAGTTGTCCGATTGATCAATAATGATCGAATGATTTCAACAATCAATCGAGATTATCCTTCAGCACAACGAATTGGTCTTGCGCTGACCATGGCTTTAGTCACAGAGGTCTATTCTCGCATTGTACCAATCGCTCAAAGTGCAGTTACAGGAAATAATACTCGCTCATTGGATCCAAAACCGGATAATACTCAACTATTTATTTCTCAAGAACCAATATTTCTTCATGGATATGTTTTTGGTTGCGGTGACCCAGAGGAAAAATATATTGAGGATGTTCAAATGTATGACTCTGTTGTTGAAGCAATTTTCGATATGAACTCTCCGTCTTCGCAAGAATCAAAACACGATAAACAAGTGCCCTGGAAACTGGACGAAATGAAAAAAGTAGTTCGAAGATTAGAAACTGAAATTGATAACATTCATGACGCTTAGAAAGTTTACGGATTGGCCATCATTACCCGAAATAGTTTCTTTGATATCTACATAGTAAGACATGGCGAAACTCAATGGAATATTGAGAAAAAATTTCAAGGACACACAGATATTCCTTTAACTGAGCAGGGCAAACAGCAGGCTCGACAGCTTCAAGAAAAGTTTGCTGGCATTCATTTCGCCAGCGTATTCTCATCTGACATGTCACGAGCGCGCACTACTGCTGAATTGATCGTTGGTTCGAGAAATTCAACTATTATTGAAACGCCACTACTTCGAGAAACAAGCTGGGGAACATGGGAAGGACGCTTGGGTAATGAATTAAAATCGTACTTGGAAACGATTATTGATCTCGATAATTTCACACAAGAAAAATACGTGTCGTTCAAATGGGATGATACTGTTGAAAGCTATTCTGATGCCTATCAACGAATAAAAACTTTTCTTCATTCCATTATAGTTTCTTCGTCTATGAGTGATAATCCTATTTTACTTTCTAGTCATGGCGTTATCATGCGAGCCATATTATACCACTTGGATTTTCGTCCTGGAGAACGTTGGCGGGTGAATAATTGTGCTTTTCTGAAGCTGAGAGTAAAAACAGATGGACAAATTACCATCGTGGCTTCCGACGGTATTGAATCAATCGATCCAAAGGAGACCATATTCTCATTTTGAAGTCTACTGCCCAAACACTACAACATTTTAATGCTTCAAAGACTGTCTGATCAGCGCTAGTCCACATTCTAACTTTCCTGAGCTCGACTGAGAGCGCATCGATTTGTACGAACTCTTGTATGTACTTCCTTTTTGACATTTTGTGTTTGGAACTTTTTCTAACGTTGAATATTCTGTAACATCCATGCTTATTAAAAACTTTCAAGGTTCTACGAAAAACAATAATACCAATCAGCAATTCAAAAACAATCGACAAAGGGAAAAAAGAGTCTTCTATTTACTGAAATGTGCACCCACACTCACATATTGAGTCTTTCTTCTTATTCATCAACCATTGAATGCTTGTTTTTGTTGTTTTTATTGACTGTGTTGAAGACGAAAAATCATGACATTTTACATGTGGTATGCAACATTTTCTTTCTCTAATATTAACTCTTTCGAACTCAAAACAGAAAAATAAAGTAGATTAGTGTCAGTCAGCACCACTATTGAGTTTGTACAAGACACTTTTCTTTCGCGGATGTGCAGTACTAAGTTTCCAGTTTTCTTTTCACAGATATTGTCCACATTTGTTGGAATTTTTTTCGTTCCATACGAGTAATAACATTGTAAAGAGGCAAAGCATTGATGAAATTGAGAAAGAAATGAGACACACACCTGTGAAAGCAAAAAAATTGTCCCGCATGACGTCATGAAATAAAACAAATGTGATTATTATTGAAGATTGAGGAAAAGGCACAGGTCTATACATCATAAAACAGAGCTTCATAATGGCAATGTCTGTATATTTTGTCGCATTCATTATCAGTACCGATAGTGAGTTTTTCTAGCCACGCACAGATTCGCATGCTAAAAGGTAGGTGTATTTTCATACAATTGTTTTTTCGGTGTGAAGCACAACATTTGTATTGACTGACGACAAATTTTTCTCTTCCGCCACGTACGCAACAGAAATTCATATTTTTTTTCGCATTGATTTCAATGATGAAAAATCAGAATAGATTCGTTGAACGATTGTATGAAAACTGCATTTCGTATTTTGACAAAAAGCCTGAAAAGAAAATCAAGTTTTGTAGATTTTACATTTTTGTTCGTATTTCAAAATAACTAAATGATAGATTAAGAGCATGTTTTATCAATATACTGATAGGAATTATTAGAATTGTCAAATAAATAAATGCCACAAGATTGTACTTTTCAGCTTTTATCTCCCTATCAAACAATTCAGTCGAAACAGAACTTTTCTTACGATAGAAATAAAAAAAAGGAAAACTCATTGTAGTAGACAAATTAATAAATAGGATGTGGGTATGGGTATTGTTTTGAGTTTTCTGTTTATCTACAGTGACATCCACACACCCATCCTCATATTCGCTTCTTCTTTTCTTTCGCAAAGATGCTGAGAGTATGTTTGAGAGTAAGAAAAGTAGTTTTCATTACTTATCTCTCCATTATGTTCGATATTAGAGTTACCACCGCACTATTATGCTGATTAGCTCTCTGGAAAAAATCTTTTGGCAGTCATACTTATTTTCATATGGTCGTCTATGAACAGTATGGGGTGTGGGTGCGCGTGTCTTCTTCTAAACTTACATCCCCACCCACATCCACACTCACCCACATCCCACACACAGCCACCCACACCCACAAAATTCTCTATCTTTTGACATCAGAACGAAATTTTCTCATACAGTCTGACTTTAAAAAACAGCTTATCAAAAGCCGGCAATTTCTTCTGCGTCACCCGTTATATTCCAAGTATTCTTAGAGTTTCGGGGTGGCTGTTTGGTTCACATTTACATCTACACTCGACAAAACAAAACCCATCAGCATCTACACTCACATCCACCCCTCTTTGTTTTTTATTATATGACAGAAATAAAAAGCAACATGATCGCCATTCAAAGCAAACTATATTATATTTTTTTGATAGAGGCAACATGGAAGTTCTTTTTCACGTTCTGCGTTTTATTGTTATAAAAGCCATATTATTTCTTAAATAAACTTTTATGTTGGAAGAAATACTGAATTGTTTCGTCAAACAAAATTTTTCATTATGACTGAAAGTTATATTGCTGAACTAGAATTAAATTCAGAACAAGAGTCACAGTAAGCGTTTCCAGTTCATAAATATTAATCAATCGTTTCTTGTGTCTCTAGAAATCGATCCGATGATTCGGATGAAGAAACATTAATAAGTGGAAGTGATAGCAGCACCTTTTCAAATGAATCTGATGCCGAAACGCTAAATTTTGATGATCAGAATGTTGATCTTAGCTCTACAGATTATTTCGAGCAGCTTTATGAAAACTTATTCGAAGCTTCGGATAGGGTCGACCAAAATATACAGATTGACAAGAATCAATTGGCTTTCGATATTTCATCATGTTCCACTTCATCCCGTGCATCGGTATCGTCCGACTTTACATATTTGGACGAGATTGAATCGTTTTTCAACAAAAATAGTACTTTTCTTCAAGTGTCAACATCTGACGATGTACTCTTTAACCAACTTCACAATGACTTTGATTCTACAGTGGAGAGAAATAAGATCTTTGTAGGCTGTATTCCGTTGAATATCAATGAAAGTTCGCTGAGATCATTTTTTAACAGGTTGGGATATTTGGATGTGGTTCGTATAGATGGTCCAAAGTTTAAGGTAAATACTTTGAATCGAAGATAGTTCTCATTAAGAGAATTATATGATTAATTTGTAGAAAAGGTCTCTATAGACGGTTGAACGAAATTCCCAAGTTTCTTCGTCAGGGTCTAACAATAATATTTATCCACTGATAATATTTAGCAGGATGATGTAGTATCATATTGTAGCAGTCAGAGAACGAAGCGTTATTACAGACCGAATCTCTAACATAATTGCAGCAGATGCATGACTAACAATGAGAATAGGAAACTTGCCAAGATCTCTAAAAGATAATTTTTCCTATCATTCTTTAATCTAATCTTGAGCATATCTCAGCCATCTGTGAATAGATGGTAAATAACGTGATGGCTCGGATTCTCATTGATTTTTTTCTAATTTTATATTTAAAAGCTATCTGTATTATTTTTTTTAGGAAAAAAATCGCAGAGTTGGTTTTGCCTTTATTACCTTTGCATCAAATACTACTGTGTTTGAAATATTATGCGATTTTAGTCGAACACCGGAAAAATTTAAATTGTTTGGATATCAACTTCAATTAAACGTGCTTAAACCACGAGTGCTCCCAAAAATGCAGAGTGGTGACGCACACTCTGGACGAGAAACTGACCTAGACCTGTTCACTTTTTCTTTGGACTGTGTTATGTATGGAACATTGATTGGAATGACAGCGATGAAAAATCTTGTTGACCAAACCTGCAAAAATGCAACAACATTTTCATCTACATATGGGTACATTGTGCACCAACGTCTCGAAAAACAATCAAAACCATTTTTGTTAACAATTGATACCAAACAAAATAAATTTTTTATTGATGTCATACTCATAGAAAACACAACAAGTTGGCCTAAGCGTAAAGGAAACTTTCGATTCGAGTGGAATTTCCGTGAGTAAGTGAGTCAGGAAAGTCAAGTAGTTATAGGTTATGTGAACACAAGCATATTAACTATTTTCATCGGAACTTGATCAATCGGCATGATTATTCAAACAATTCGAGTATCATATCTTTAATACAGTTTTTCTTTCTAAATAGTTAACATTATATAAGAAAACATATCTATCATAGAAAAATTCTCATAATATATATTTTAACTTCAGTTTGAAAGGAAACAAAATTGTACCGGTATTAATACATGGGCTGTCGCCATCTAATATGATTTCATCCAAGAAGTCAATTGATCCATCAGTATATATTCTTTGCGAAGTTCGTCGGCCACCATGTATTAGTTCTGTTCGGAAAGTGAGGGCGGATGGCTCAGAAAATGAGATTCGTCTACCTGGTTCAACCTTGATCGGTCGTACTAATGCTTGGCTTTTGAACATTGGTTCAGATCCAAAAATTTATCAGACATTTGCCAATTTACTTGATCGATATCATCTATGTGCCAAGCATTGTCAAATCAGTGATATGGTACCCCTATTGACATCGGTTCATCAACATGCTCAATGTCTTATTCATATTGATTTATTATTATTGAAAGAATGGCATGAAAAAAATAGATTAGCTATTGAGCAATTCTTTTGTCAACGTTGGCCTTTTTTTCCATTTGAAACTAAGTTTGAAATTATGAAATTGATCTCTAAACATATAATTACGGTCAACGATCTTATCTTGGACGAACGATTGGAATTTATATTGGGCCAAATATCTTCAAGTACTCTGGCTGCTTGTGTTGGTAAGTTCATCATATGCAGTGATTCGTTAGATCTTTTTTCAATGATCTCAGTGAAATATATCGTTAAGATTATTCTGTAAGTTTTATTGATCACTGAACAGTTTTGAGATACAAATTTATTCAGCATAATCATTGATAGCAAATACTGCATGAATCATCCTCATAGTTTTGTTTCGAAAACTAGATAAAATCATCGAATTTGCTCCACGTTGGCAACCTACCAGCGAAAAAACAAACGACGAAGACTGGAATGATGATGAAGAAGAAGAAGAAGAAGACGACAAAGAGGGAACAGTAAATGATGAATCAACACTAAGAACATATATGTTGCCACCATTATATTCAGCTACTGGCAAGCCTCTAAATAATGCCGGCTCAACTTCTGTAACCATAAATTTGTCTCGCATTAAATTAAAAGATATGTATCCTACAAATAATGATCATATCGGTTCTTTAAGTCGGTTGTTGTGTCTTGGGTTATTCGAACTTCGTCGAAAACATCAGCTGAATCAGATAACATCCGGTATATATTTGACGAAGCGAGAGATGCGAGCATGTAAATCGAACGAAACATTTTCTATTCGTAAAGTTTTTATTACTCCATCGACAATTCATTATGAAGGACCACATTGTGAGGAAGCTTGCGCTGTAACTCGTCACTTCTCTGAACTTCAAGATTGTTTTCTACGTGTAAGCTTTCGTGATGAAGGTAAATTATTGAAATCTTGTGACGTTTAAGAATCAATTACAAATATCCTAGATTATTGCAAGCTTAAAGATGTAAATAACTCGATGGATATCTTATATAAGCATATACAATCACTGATGACTGATGGTTTGAATATTTGTGGTCGAAAATATAAAATTCTCGCTTTTTCGACATCTCAACTTCGTGAACATTCATGTTGGATGTTTCACCAACGACATACCAGCAATATATCTTGTGAATCAATTCGAGAATGGATGGGTGATTTCCAGAATATACGTCCAGTAGCAAAGATGGCTGCCAGGGTTAGAGCTCAATTTTCATTCATCAATTCTATTAAGATTATCTTTGATACTTTTGTTTATCGTAGCTTGGTCAGTCATTTTCAACAACTATCAAAGGAAAAGAATTATCAAAAGAATCATACATCGAAATTGATGATGTGACATCGCTGATAGATAGTAAAGCATTATATACAGATGGAATAGGGATCATTGCTTCTTGGTTTGCCGATGAACTTTCGAAGCAGATGAATCTCGACTCAACACCATCAGCATTTCAAATTCGATTCGCTGGATATAAAGGTAAATCTTGTGCTCGAAAGAAGAAATGATACCGTCTCACATTTGTGTTTTTCAGGAATGGTCTGTATCAGTTTAGAGGACAAAATTGCCAATGATTCAAAAATTCGAGTAGCTCTTCGTCCTTCGATGAAAAAATTTGATTCAGACAATTGTTCTATTGATATTGTTCGACCATCTAACTTCTTATTGAGTTATCTCAATCGTCAAATCATTCTTTTATTATCTTCTCATCATATACCCAATTCTGTTTTCCACCATTTTCAAGATGAAATGCTTGACAAATTGATGTCCATGAACACTAATGTTGAACGCGCTATCGAAACATTGTGGAAATTCAATGGAAACATGGGTGGCAATGGAACTCATAAAATGATGATCGAATATTTATCACGATTTCAATTCAATACTGAACGTTTTGTTCAACAACTTCTGTTTCGTTTTCAAGCGTTTCAATTGAAACAATTACGAACCAAAGCGAGAATTTTGATCGAAAACGGTTGTGTTTTATTCGGTGTGGCTGATGAAAGTCGAACATTAAAACATGGACAAGTATTTATTCAAATTTATCGTAGTGATACCGATGAAACAAAAATTATTCAAGGTCCAGTCATTGTCACGAGAAATCCCTGTTTACATCCAGGTAAGAATTCGTTGATTTTCTAAGTGGATAATGAGTCGAAATTCGAATGAATAAAACTCACGTCAGCAAACACAAAGAAAATTATGTGTGTGCGAAATTTTCTGAGACTACACTGTCATTGATCAATTTTACATAGGTGATATTCGTCGTTACGAAGCTGTTGATAATCTTCGGCTTCACAAACTGAAAAATGTCATTGTATTTCCTATGGATGGTCCTAGATCAATGACAGCAGAGCTAGCTGGTGGTGATTTGGATGGTGATATATTTTGGATCACGTGGGATTCACGTCTAATCTTTACTGGAAATTATGAAGCATTCTGTTATAGTGATCAGACACGACAAGCAAATGAGTTGAATGCGAACACAGCCAAACAGTCATATACTATTGCCGATGTTTGCCGTTTCTTTGTCGAATACTTGAAAGCAGATAATCTAGGTATTATTGCTAATTGGCATTTGGCTTTAGCTGATCTACACGGAGTTGAATATGAAAAATGTATACGTTTGGCTGCAATGCACAGGTTTGTAATTAAGCGTAACTTTTAGAAGATCGAAATGCTTTTGATGTCTAGCATTGCTGTGGATTTTGTTAAAACCGGTCGTCGTCCACCCTCCTTAACTAAAGATCTTCAGCCAGAAACTTATCCTCATTTTATGGAGAAGAAAAGCAAACCAGATCATCTGTCAACTTCAGTTCTTGGCCAATTATACGATGAAGTGAAAAACTTCAAAATCAACTATAATCAAAACAAGAATCCCAATAAGAAACCATTTCCTTATCGAAGATTAGTCATTAATGGTTACTTGTCTTACGTTGCTGATGCTCGAATGCTAAAAGAAGAATACGAACGAGAATGTGAGTATTAATGATACAAAATAGGATTCACTGTTTACGATTTCTTTTCGTTTGTAGTGAGACGAATCATGAGACATTACGGTTTACATCGTGAAAGTGAAATTATATCAGGTTACATAACAAAATTTACGAGCAAACAATACGCGAAACAAGGGAAACTGTTCGAATTACGTAGTGAAATTGCAAATACGATTCGGTCTTTACGTAATAAGTAAGAGGAACTAATATATTTGATTCAATTCAAAACCTGTCCACTCTGCTAGATATATTCAATTATTTTGGCAAGAGTTTTACCAATTATCTACTGAGAATGAAGAAATAGAATCCAATATTTGGCAAAAAGTAGCTCAAAAATTGTCATGGCATAATCAATTGGATATTGCCGATTACTATAAGAAACATTCGATCTATGTAGACCAAAAAGCATCAGCATGGTTTTATGCCACATATAAGGAAGAAGTGAACAATAACGGAAATATGATAAATCAACGAGGCCGACTCTATAGTTTTGCTTGGCTTGTCTACCCAGTGCTCTTTCACATATACGATCATAAAAACAATGACGATACTATTAGCTTTGAGATCCATCCTAGAAAAAGATCCAAGAATAGAAGAAGACGAGGACATCGACGTGGACGAAAGAATCAACGAAATACCTAAACATTCAGTATTCACTTTGTGCCTTTATGTTAATCTCGAGAATTACATTGAAATAGTCTATAACAAAGCTTATTATTTACTTTCACTTCTTTGCAAGTTGGAAAAAACAAGTAACGACCAGTAAGGTGCACATGCTTTTGCTGTCGTCACTGCTTTCTTTCTGCGCAAATAGAGTGTGCGAGTGAAATGTCTGCATTTCAATTACACACTCACACCCTTGAAAAAACAATTCATAAATAATATGACAAACATCATCATCTGTTACATCAGAATTCAAATGTCGAATAGATGTAGAGACAAAGATTGTTAATAAAGTAGAAACTAATAGAAGCAATATTGAATAATATTTCTTATGAAATATACGAGTAAAAATTGTATTTGTTAATGATTCTAATTTACAAATCATCTTATCTGAAATTAATCAAACAAAGAACTTTTTACATATTTGACTTGCCAAATTTTATCACTACATAGTGAGTCGTTTGAATGAAACTGAAAAAATATTCTTGTACATATAAAGCTCTATCATTATTTTAGAAGTGCAGATAAATTTTACATCAATTCTTTATTTAAATACTAACACATAAGAACTACATATGTAAAAAAAATGATATATAACAACATATTTTCTGTATAACTATTGCTTGTTTCTTTACTTCATCTGTTAAGAACCAAGTTGAGAANAGTTAATTTGGGTGTGGGTGGATCAAGCGAAGTCTCAAACTCCCACCCACAACAACACCTACCCAGATCCACACCCACACCCACCCACACCCTTATTAAACAATGATGAAATCATTTAAACAGTGTTCATCACTCGAACTTACATATTCGTATGTCATGCAATGCTTTTTAAAAATAAGTACATTTGAAGTTTGTTATGGGCAGTTGCTAGAGTCTGTAATGGGGGTGTCTGTAATAGGGGGGGGGTATGTCTGTAATGTTCTCTTTCGTTGCTATGGTCTGTAATGGTAGCCTGTCTGTAAGGGGAGGGGTGGGGAGCCGCAAAAACTCGAACTTAAAACTTACACTCACTATTTTCTTCGAAAACATATGTGAGTTCCACAAAATAATGGAACTAGTTTGTATAACAATAGATACCCTAACATAGAGTGAATATGCTAATAGTTTATATTTTTTTATATGTTTTCTTGTTCACTAATAGATTCAGTAATAGTTATTAAAACATTTTAAACTGATGAAAATGATTCAAGGAAAATACGATCATTTGATGCGATCTATAATGAACGATTTTCATGATCAATTATTATTTTCAAAACATCTTTCAATGTTTCACTTGTTGTATTTGTTCTATATGAGTGATCGAAAACATTATCTTTAGCTTGAAGTGAATCATCTGACATCATGATGCAACTGATGGAATGAATATTCCTTTATCTCTTTCAATAAAGTCATCATTTTTATGATAATCTGTCACATGATTCTTTCAATGAATGTCGTCTGTTCATTTTCAATAGTAGAATAGATGTATCTTACAGTGACTTAGTAATAAATTCACACGCGACTCTTATATCAACAATAATTACTTCAATATTTGAAACGTCTTTGACTAGTGAACCTTCTTGACGAGTTGTAATCAAAAACTTTATTTTTATGATTTATATATAGAGTACCATATGTATGCTATCTTTAGACACAAGAAGCAAATAAATACAACTACAGAATTGAAAAAATGTAAAAGAAATCAGTCATGTTTTGAGTGTGGACGTGGATATGGATGTGGGTATTAGGTGTGGGTGTCAGAACTCTTTTTATTTATACCTACGACCACACCCACACCACAGACCCATACCCACACCCAAACTAGTATCTTTTACGAAAAGAGACAACATTAACATGATAAAGTGTGTATAGGAGCATAGTTGCATGTGTGGACGAGGGAATGGATAAGAGTGTGAGGCTGCCTACTCTAGATCCATCTTCACACCCACCGACATTTCTTTGTGCTCCATAATTTGTTAATTATCGTGAGATTAGTCTATGTGAGTTGACCTTATCACAATTCACTAGCTGTATACATATATACGGCAAACTCAATTCGCTTAACTTATATTTGATCACTTATATATATTTTTCGTTTGGTACTCTTTTCACATATAACTAATTTGGTACTCATTTGTCGTAATTTGTAATATTGTTTTCATAGATAAATAAAAAAAAACATGTCTTATGGATAATGATGTAATCACATGTTATCATCTATTACCATCAAACGTCGATTATGATTACATTGATTAAGAATCTTATTGCGAAAGAGATGAACAAATTAAAAGTTCAATAGTGAAAACTCAACCTGAAAAACTGACCTTCACGAATATGCCGAAAAACCAAAACGTCTAATTTTTTTCTCTTTGATTTGATGAAACAGTAATATTCTTTAATGATGGCATATAGATGGGTGTGGGTGAGCATATGAGTGGGTGATTGTGGATGTGTGTGTCGAAAAAGAGCAGACCGACAACTACATCCATTACTGCATGAATAAAAATAATAAAACAGGCACTATCGGTCTATCATAGACTACCGATCGGTCACAAACAGAATGCACACAAGAAATCTATACAAAAGTGAAGAAAAATTAATTTTAGAAAACTCACCTGTCATCAAGAAAGCTGGCTATAAAAATGAAAAAGAGCGTGGCTATGAATGTCTATGAAGAGAAGATCCATACTTACCTTCCGCTTTCCTGAGATGATAAGAGGGATCAAGCAGAAATTTTTCACATACACCGGTCCCTATTAGGCATGGCTGTTTCTTTTGCTTATTCCAAAAAATAATGTTCTACTAATTTTTGATAGCTCTGACACAAACATAGACATTTTTATTTAAAAGACTAGGTGAAACATGGACGAAAAATGGGATTATTTTTGCTATTGTTATCCCAATGTCTCATAGAAGACAACATCCGAGAACTTTGAGCTTATAATAACTTTTTTCCAATGATCAAAATCTACATATCCAGAAAGTTTTCAAGTGTTCTGATGAGCCGTTGTCCAGAAAACTCTAAAAGGGTGACGGAGAGAGAGGCTATACTTTTTTCATTAAACAAGAGCGCTCTAAAAATTTTATTTTGGCAGCCATTTAAACCACTATTTCACAGTTGGTTTCAGTTTTGTTGTTCCTAACTATTGCCTCTCATGAAAAATGTACTTGTGTATTCGATTAAACCAAAGCATGGAGGACCATTTTTGAGATCATCTTTTGTGAGACTTGCTTTAGCACAAAATAGCATTACATCGATACCATTGAATCCCATTCCTTTCAGTTTCATATGATACTCTACCATGGAATCGGGGATACTCCAGACTTTACTTGGTGTAATGTTTCCATGGTGAAGATACAGACCGTAAATATTGATCTTTTCTTTCTGCTGACACAATTTGACAATTTACGCTAAATGGCTATTGGCAGACTCATTTTCGTTTACTACATGATAATAGTATCAACTTCTAAATGAGTTTATAACACTTCAACTTTACATACTCACACTGGAATGATAAACTTTTAACACATACTCAACGTATTTCTTTTGATACAATGTGTCCTAGGATTTAGGTGTGGATATTATCTTTATTCATACCACACCAACTCACGCCCACACCCACACCCACACCCATGCCACGAAAGAGAGTATCTGAGGAGTAGTTCTCACTGGGGAGTAGATGTCGTGGAAGCAAGTGTCGCGGGAGCATCTGTCATGGAATCGATTAACAGTAATACTTTGCGCTATTTTCAATTTTTTGTTTAATGTGATGTAGAAACTCGTTTTCGCTTGATTATATCTGCATATATTGAAAAAGAAAATTTAGACAAAACTGCATAAATAATTTTTAGGTGTCATCATCAGAGTCGAATGTGATTGTGACACCCATCCGTTTGGGTATGATTGCATCTCCACCATCGCCGGCATATTCCCCGGAATTGACTTTCGGTCCACCATCACCGAATGTCACACGTTGCATGAGTCGAGCACAAATAGCCTTCACCTTCAATCGAGCCAAATCTTGACCAATACATTGGCGATGACCACCACCAAATGGAATGGATGCTGCTTTGTTATTATTGATATCGTTATCTTCTACTAGGAATCGTTCAGGATAAAACTGATCAGGATCAACTGGTCCTAGCCAATAACGTCTATCTCGTCCCAGGTTATGGATGGCAATGAGCACGAGATCGCCTTTTCTCAATTCAGCTCCCGTCGATGGCAATCGATCATCGACAGTAAGTGTGCGTAGTATGCCGAAATTAGGTGGTACAAAGCGAAATACTTCACGAAGAACACAATCCAAATAGCTGAAGGAATCGAGTTGTTCGACGGAGAGCGATTGCATATTATACTGAGCCAATTCTTTCTTGACTTTGTTCTGCACTTCAGGATGTATACTCATCAAATGAATAAACCAACTCAGTGCAGCTGTTGTTGTCGAATAGCCTGCCATGAGAAATGACAGCATCTCGTCCAGCACTTCAGCACGGGAAAGTCCTGAAATATCAGGAGAAAATCAGTAAAAAACCGTTCTTTTAACAGGAGATACAGTGCCTATATCGGTTGCCAATAGAAATTCATATACAGAATAGTTCAAAGGTACGCTTCGTGATAAAAAAAAATTGACTATTTTCGTTCTGTTTCAATCAAACGAACTGATTTTTCTATTGATGGTACAGCATCTTCCAAAGCTATTTCATAAGAAGAATATTAGCAAAACAACTACTTTGCTCTTTTACTATTGCCTTCACTACGGAAATATGATTGATATGGATTGCAAAATAAATCATGCTCTTGCGTGACAAGTTTAAATAATAGAGTTTGTTGTTTTATCCAAAACGAATTATACTGAAAATATTCCTTTATAATTATAGAAAAAAAGTAGCCTATTTAGATAGACTAATAAATTTATCAGAAATCTCTTTTCAAAAGTAGAGAACCCTCAGTGTGTTAATAATTCTTAATAAAAAACAATTTTGATAGATTCCCTCTATCATTAATTAAAAAAATCAATTCATTTGATTGGAACAGAGTGAAGACATTCACTTTTTTATTGTAAAGCTATACTTATGAACTACTCTACACGAATTCCTCAGTTAATGTTTGACATGAAACTTAGAAAGAATCTGACTGAGTTAATTTTTACTAGAGAGAACAAAAATATTTATCAGATAAGTACAAGTACTGAACTTGTACTTACTGTACTTGTAGTCGCCTTATCTTTGATTTTTGCAAGTACAGAATTTCTAAATAATGTACTAGACTCGCCTTTTCTGTCTTCTTCAGTCTTTAACGCTTCAATTTTTTCATCTTGCTGTAATGAAGCGATTAATGATGCAATCAAACTTATTTTCTTGCGTTCAGCTCTCATCATTGGTGCCTCTTGCAACTCTTGTTCAATCATATGATGTAAGTGCCGATTAACAAGATCACGTGATCGTCGATATTTGAGATTAAGTAGCAAGTAGAGACGATCGATGAATGTCGGCATTTTTATTACAGTCATAATCGCGTCTAAAACTGTGTGCAATGCATGAGCAAATTCATTCTTGTCCTTGTCTCCTTGATTATCCATTGTCGGGAGAGAATAGTCAAAAAACATAAGACTGAATGTCTCAAGAACTAATTGTTGCAGTTGCTCAAACATATTTAAATGAATGTATTTTGGGTCGTTCTTGTTCGTTCGCCAACGAGTCAGCAATTTATCTGTACAATTTATTATTGTATCCAAATGGTTGATAATTTTACCACGACGAAATAATGAATGAGTAATAGATGCGTGACGCTTATATTTAGATCCTAATTAGAACAGTTTTTGTATGTTATGAATTCAAACAGATGACTACTTCGTATCTAACCTGTGAGACAAAAGATTGAATTCGGCATGATGAAGCTCATTTTCTGTTCAACTAAATCTGCTTGATCGTACTCATGTCGATGGGAAAAAATGTGTTGTACATCTTCCAGACGGCACACAACAACCATACGAGCTGAACCTAACCAGAATTGAAATACATCACCAAATTTATCTTGAAACTGTCGTAGTACATTAGGGAGTGGTTCGCCTCGCCAGATAACTCCAGTTTGTTGTAAATTGCCGAAGAGAAATTGTGGTGTCACACCAGGTAATGATCCACGTAAGGTGAAGTACGCACTTTTGAGATAAACATACACGATTATTAGAAATAGCAGAGCAACAAGCATCAATATTAGTAACATTTTTCCTCTCGTGTTGTTGTTGTTGTTGTTTTATAAAGCACGCATGTGTTCGAAATCAAAAGTAAATATGTGAGACGACAAGGTCGCATGAGACGGGTTTTCATCGTTTCTCTTTCTTGTTTCTGTGTCGGCGGCTACATAAGATTGACTCATTTATGTACAAAGTGAGATAAAAAAAAATGACTTTCCCTTTCGCTAGCACGTTGTAAACACTTACAGTAGCAAGATAATTGAGAATTTTTAAAAATTTACAAAAAAAAAAATAAGGTGAAAAAATAAACTATTAATTATCTATATAGAAATATAATATTTAAGTAAATGAACGACTTAATATTCAAATATAAAACCTTTTATTATTAACAGCAGTGAAATATTTTGTAATTGACACTATCAGCCAAGAAAGACTATCGAAAATGACAAAATTTACTTTTGAAAGCTATTTGCGATGTATTTCGTATAAATCGAAGATAAAAAGAAAAGAATGTATAATGATGTCATCGTATAATAAAGACAATAGTTTGCTAGTTTTAAACAGTCTATATGTATACTATACGAAGAACGAAAATCATTCAATGGTCGTGGTATATACCTCAATATGTAATAGTGCCAATGTAATTGCACAATATCAGTTAGTTCCATCATAAAAGATAGTCTATACAGAATTTACTTTTGCAGTTTTTCTGCAAAAGTAAATTTTGTCATTTTCGATAGTCTTTCTTGGCTGATAGTGTCAATTACAAAATATTTCACTGCTGTTAATAATAAAAGGTTTTATATATCTATATAGAACATAATTGACTTTTTAGTATACGATAATTGTCTTTAAAATAAAATTAAATCGGTTCATCTTAAGATTAAAACTGAATTATATTAATGTATTTTGAAGGAATTATGGAATCAGACACAGTGAACGAACATTTAAAATAAAATAAAATAATAGTAGAAAACATGCTAAACTTATTTTCATATAATTTTGTATAACCTAGTTTAGATGTCATCAATTTTAAAATTTTGAGTTCTTAGCTTTCGCAGAGAGATGAATAAGTTTTATTTCTTGTTAACGCTTCATGCAAAGATACGTTCTTTTGCGATAGCACTCGAAAGTATGAGATCTTCACTCCTTCGAAAATTGCAGAATGGCTTTTTTAATTTTAAAAAGTAAGGAAACTCAGAAGTGAATGGGCAACCCTGGTAAAATATACAAGTTCGTGTTTGATTACTTCTGACTTTAGTATGCATTTTAGAAACTTACTTAGAGTCCCACTCTATCTTGGTAAAATACTATAGAGAGCAGAATCAACATGTTTCCATTCGGGTTTAAAACTTATTGCTAATTTTTATTATTTTTAAAAAAATTTTAGTTGTGAAACACGGAGCGAAATGATATTTTTGCACTACATTATACGATGAAACTTATGATATTCATAAATGCTAGTTTTCTAGTTGTGGTGGACCGAAGACGCATACATGTGTTTTCCATGTTTACTCGGAATGCTCGATATTCCTCAATGTAACATTTTTCGATTTTGCTTTTTTTCTATATACAATTGTGTAACCCCAATTAAAACATTTAATTTATCACTGAAACAAATTTTTCGGAACAGATTTGAATAAAAGATTTGCAAACATCCAAATTTTACTGTTTCAAAAGTCTGAGAGATTTCATTTAAGAAATGCACCGATAATGATGTCTAATTCTTAGTAACTGTTTAGTTGAATTAGATTTCTCAGAGTTTGTCGCTCATAGACTGAACATATTTTGCCATCCCCTATTATTGTTATTTAACTATCCAGAGAAAATTTTTTGTATTTTATTCTTCTTTTTCTTTATCAATCAGTTTAAATTTCTATAGCAATTAAGACAACAATTCAATATGAGAAATAGAGATTCTTGAAAAATTCTTAAGTGCTCAGAATAAAAAATGACTACAGATTCTGATAACGGTTTCAACGAGGAACAAAATACGCTTCAGATTTCTGAATTAGCTCATTTTTGAGAATTTTTTAATATTGCATCAAACTGTTGAGAATATCTTACTTTTCAAAGTATTTTGCTAACATCAATTTACTGGTAAGTGCTCAACTGATGTCTGAGAACATGTTAGACGTCTGATACTATTGGGTCGAATGTTCAAATCCACCTTCCGTCTTTTTTTCTTATTTTTCGACTGTTCGATGGACAAGTCCGAATGGGCTAGATGAACAAACAGACTAGACGTGACTATTCTCAAGGACGCTTCGAACTAGTCAGGACATGATCGGAGAACATTTCGTGCCAGCATAGCTAGTCATAACGCATACGAGAGACGCTTCAGACTAGACATAACGGTTATTCCAGATTTGCGAACTAATCATATTCCCAGTTCTTACTCATTTTTTGCTTACTTGGGATCCTACAGATTCCTTTTCTTCATTCTGAACACGTTCGATAACATCAATTGCGGATGAATGATATGTTACAAATGATTGTACTAAAATGAAAAAGAAAAACCGCATTTTGACAGATAAAACGTATTAAAACGAAACGAAATAAACGATCTGACCAATGCTTTACCTATTTCATCAGCATATGTTTCTGTTTGAATTGATAGAAATAGATTTTCTATTTCATTTCGAAAAGATTGAACACGCTTAGTGACTTCACCAGAAATTTGAATCGTGTAAATATCTTGTTCATCATCGCCTTGTGTGCTTTTTTATTTCTATTCGTACTACAAGCAGTTCTTTCAAATATAATTAGAGAGTACTAAAAGTTCTGATCACGATGTTTAAAATTTTATTAAACAGTCAATATTGAAAGTTTTATTATCGAAATATATAGTACAACATCTCGCCTTTAATATTCTATATAGCAGCTCTATCTTGGATTTGGTTCTAATATCCTGTTAGATAAAAACTATGGTGCTTATAGCCAAGAAAAGATCGTGACAACATAAAACCAGAAGGGTGTAGGTGTCGGTGTGGGTGTGGGTGAGGGTGGGGGCGTGGGTGTCGGTGGGTGTGGCTGTGGTGTGTTCGGTACGCGTTTTGATCGTGAGAATTTCACATCAATACCGACACTGACACTGACACCCACACACCACCCACACCCACACCCACACTCACACCCACACCCACACCCACCCAGATCAAGACAAACTTTAGAAGATAAAAACGAAAAACAGCAAGTTTCTCTCTAATGATTAATGATGCTCAAAAAACAATTATAGATTCTATATCTATTATGATCTCTCTCAAAATGAGATGAATTTTTTCTTCAAGGTGAATTATTGGCAACGGAATCAACACGTTTTCCGATTATTCAAATTGAAGTATTAGATGGACCACAACTAGAACTTGTTTGTCGGTCTGAAGATGTAAAAGAAGATCAAGATGTTGTTCGTGATCGTTTAGTTATAGATTATTGTTTTGTGACAAATAATGATGCAAATAATAGTAATAATAGTCGTCCACGTTGTTTAACTGGTGGAAGAAAAAATATACAAAGTGCACTTGTATTAACACGTGATAAAGGATGTATGTATACATGTTGTGAAATAAATGATTATAATATTGAAATGTATCTTAATGATCAAAAGAATGATTGTTTGAATAATTCTTTTCTTTTTACTTCAGCATATTTGCATTAATATTAAGTGCCGAAGAAAATTATCTTATGACAGTTACATTCAAAGGTTTTAAAATCTTTTCATTTCGATCACATCTATGCAAAACATGCTTATTACCTGGTAGTGTACGTAATATTATGAGTGGTTATAAATGGTTAACATATACCGCATCATTTTCTCAGGATAATAGGTATATTCTATAATGTTATCAATTATTTAGTAAGATTATAAATGTAATAGTCAAAAATAATAAATAACAAAAAAAAGGACGGTATATATTGACGATAAATCTAAGACGTTTGGGTTCTGTATTTCAGCCTTAATAGAGCTGTCCTCATGTTTTGTTTTTCATCGCTTAGATATTTGATAGCATGTGTTAAGTCAAGTGTTTATGTGTTTGAAATTCAATGGGGTGACTTAATAGCTTCATTTGATTCACATTTTGGTCGTATACTTGTTGTAAAATGTTTATCAATTGGTAACAGTGGAAATAATTATGTTATAACGACTGACATGGATAAAACAACAAAAGTATGGGATTTACAAAATGCAAAAGAAAAATCTATATCAATAGCACAATTAGATAAATGTATTGAAATGATGCACATATCAACCGAAACAAAATTGAGCATGGCACAATCACGTATACAATTATGTTTATTTGATATGAGAACTGGAATTATGACAGGACAATTATCTATTAATCTACATGGATCAATTTATCAATGTTAGAAAATAAAATTCTTTCTTTTAAATCAAAAATATGCTACAATTTTCTTATTTTTAGGTACAGTTTTGTGTGCAAATGGTTTATTTGCAGCATCAGCTGAATCATATAATTTTGTAATATATGATATTGAAGAAAGAAAAGCATCATTTATAACACCATTAAAAAGTGTTTTTCAACTTCTTCTTCATTCGGCTGAAACAATGGTAAAAATAAATAGTTTTAATTTTGTTCTATGTAAAATATTTTCTTGTTTATTTAGGTTTTAGTTTTAACTACAGAACCAGTTGCACCAACAACTATTTCAAGTGCATTAGTTAGTACACCAATGAATACTAGTTCAAATGGTCAAACTGTTCGAGCTATTTCATATGGAATACCTGATGGTGATATTATTTATGAAATTGTAGCAAATATGAAACGTTCGAATCAACCAAAAAACTTTATATGTACGGCAGATGATATGTATTTTGTATTTATTGAAGAGAAAAAACATACTGAAATACTTGCATTATATGATCCGATGACTGGTGAACATGTACATTATGTTAAATTAAGTTATCCAGCTTATAAAGAGATTACTTTAATGGTTACAATACCGAAACAACCTTATCTTATTGGTTTAATTGATTCTGAGAAAGGAATTGTTATGAATGTTAGAGATAAAAAAGTAAAGATTTAATTAAATTATTAATAATGAAGATTTTTTTGATCTTCTAAAATTACTTGATGAAAAAAAAGATTAGTGGCATAGGTCTCCTTGAGACCAAAACGTGGATTTTATATCTATTCTATCGTTTCAATCTATTCTCTAAGATAATCAGTTGGTAAAGAAGGGATCCGTCTTATTCGCTATTTTTCACTAGAACTATAGGATTTTTTTCTTTGTTTTTCACGTACATTTTCAGAGGAACTAATATACTGAAAATGTACATCAAAATTTTCCGGCTTCTCCTACTCCCCAGATCTTAGCTACTAGTCGATGCAAGCGGGGAGGGTATAAAGCTTCATAGACAATAGTTGTGAAAGAAGAAGGTGAGACTAAAGTTGAATATGGTCTGGTATCTTTTGCTAATACTTAGAACATTTTGATCCTTTAGATCATAACTAATATAAATATTGCACAGCCCAATTGGGATCGATATAGAAAAGTACATGGTAGCTTAATAATAGCTTAAATCCATGTGCTATCAGGCTTATATGGTTGTTGAGTCGTTGAAACGAAGAGTAAAATTATATGTCGATTTCTATGGCATGTGTAATAGATATATTCAATTAAAAAAAAGTACTTATGTATTGAGAATGTATTTGACAATACGAAATAATTTTTTTCAATATCACGACGTTAAATGAATCAAATAAAATTTCGGAGCGTAACTATTAACTATAAAAATTATTATAATTCTGATTTATTTATCTATTTGACATTTCTTTCGTAAACTGTTTTAAAATCTTTGACAATATGTTATCAATTTATAAAACTCAAGCGATTAGTAACTTATCCAAAGTTGAAAAAATAGTCCATGATTCGATCTTTCATAAAAGACACAAATTTTTAGTAAGCACTTCGCTTTTTCTATAAAGTTTTTGAAGATTTCTGTCATATTTTCGTATTCAAAAAAATATCCTGCTTTAAACAAAAATAGACAATTTTTTCTGTTCGTTGTGTGTTTATAGTTTTTCGATTGCGTATATTCCAGCATTTTCACATGATCATCATTGTAGCCAATAGAGTTTGTTTTAGACATTGAGCTTTTCATAGCTTTTTCCTTCAAGTGTAAAATTTTTGAAAAATTATCGATAATAAGACAATATAACATTCTAAAGAAAAATTTTCTTTACTTTTCACTCTTCTTGAAATATTTGTTTTTTCCATAGAAATTTCAAAATCTTACAAAAAAAATATTCACCAAGTCGACAAACATGTTTTTTTTTTTATAGGGCTTCAAATAGTTTGGGCTTCTCTAAGCGAGAAATATACGATTCTTTTATTAAAGAAACAGTCTGATTTGACTCGCAGATGTTACTGAAAGTTTTGGCTCTATTGACTTCAAGAGAATTTGATTCTAGCAGAATTTTTTAATTAAGGTGATCGTCCGAATTTTTTGAAAGAGCAAGAAGGTTTCAGTCAAAGTAAAGAAATGAATTTGATATATCTGTATTAGTACTATCTTGCATTGCTTTTCTTTCTA